GGTCGCCCTCCCGGTGATAGAGCAAGTTGCCGGATTCGAGGATTACCGTGTCCTCCCCCTCTCTTCGGACTTCGGATAATCCTATAATATGCCAGCGCAACTTGTCTATCTCTTCTTCCAGCTCCACGATCTTCTCGTCAGTCCTCAGGGTGCGTGCGTTGTACGTTGCCAGGTCGAGTCGTCTAAGGTAGCAACCGAACCTCCACCGGAGATTCTTAGCACCCCCTGCCCCGCCGTTACCATGGTCGCCACCGTAGCCAGGAATAGCGGGGCCGCCGGGGACTGGGGGCCGTCTCTTAGTAACTTTATTCATTTGGGGGGTATTTGCCATAGTTGCCACGCTTAGCGAGCGGGTTGGCAACCGCAGTTTTTTTTTATTGTCTGGCTATTATCAGGAAGATGCTGCTGCCCATCTCCTGCCTGTTTCCCTTTGTCGCCTTTTACGACACCCACGGGAGGATATGGGGTAGTGGTATTCTTGACCGCCACTACACGTCACGTACAATCTTATTTAATTATTTTCAGTTCCCCATAATGATTTTAGCCACCAAAATATATATACAATGTACAGAAAGAGACACAACATGTTATCATCATTTTTATTATATGTATATATTTAAAGAGAGATGGCGCTGCTAACATCAATTCTAAAAATAAAAGAGATTAATTGACGGGATTGATACATTATATAAAACGCAAGAGAACTTATAAATCAGTGCCTGCACAGTAAGCAAAAAATAAAGTTTGACTCTCGCCAAAACCAACGCAATTGTTAATAGCTCTTTTAAAATTTGATTTACCACATAGAGTACTCGGCGGTAAAGAATAAATTGAGTTTGTCAACACGCAGTAGGGCAGCGAGTAATATAATAAAGATTAGCAGTAAATATGAAAACTCATCTACAGGAAAAAACCACATTGCAATTGCATTACATTTTCACAACACCACCATCTATCGAAGAAATGGGTTAACTATTGTGCTTCAGATTTAGTTAATAAGGTTAATATATTTTTTTGTATAATATATTTAATACGTTCTTTAATACTTTTGTTTACTGAGTTTTAGATATACATGTAAAATGCATTGTGTAAAATAATAATTATATCATTATTTTACATAATTTAACTATGATTTATGATATGATATTAGTTTAAAATGCACTTGATGACTCAAACAAAGCCACCGTTGAGCAAATTCGTACCTATACTTCCCTACCCATACTTCAGAATATTAATCGTAACTTTTGATGGAATGAACTGATTTTAATGAAATAAAGACTAAATGTAACACGAAGATACACTTTATAATTTCCTTAACAATTCTTATGATATAAATTAGTACTTTATATGTGATACGTTAACAAACAAACAGACAGACAGACAGACAGACAGAAAATTCTAAAAATGGTAGAAATGTATTTAATTACTTATTTTTAGTACCCCTCAATCACTTTTATTACAAAAATATAAAATGTACAGACATCTGCTATTTACAGTTTTATTATATGTATAGATAATAACCCCTGGGAATTTATTTATTTATTTGCTTTTTAGCATGTATGTTACATGAGATACTATTAAATACTATGTATTACGTACTAAGTTCCCAATGGAGATTTATTCTTGGAAATTTTAGTTTTACAAAACATAAATAAAAATCAATCATTATCAAATCATTAAATTAGCAACAATCCATCCAGTTATAAAAATATATCAAAAGAGTTATTACAAAAAAAATTTACAATTAAAGAAAATTAAATTAAACAATATTATATATACCAAGTCAGTTAATAATATAAATGTAAATTATGAGCTATAGTCCCGTAAAATCTGTCGTCAGTAATTTAAAAACTCGTTTACCAAGTAAAATATATTTTGAAAAAACTTTTTTCTCTTAATCTTCTACCCGTTATATATTTTAATTCTACCCGTTTATACTGCTAGAACGGGTAGAACTATTATCTTCTATCCGTTCTAGCAGGATAAAGTATCGCGCAGACGACTAAGAGGCATTAGTCGGTTATTTTACGAGTCTCACTATTGTTACTATGTCCGTTGGGTATTCTACTAGTGTAGGCAAGGAATATTGTATTGCTGAGAAGCTGCCCTGTGTTACATCGAGATGGATGGTGTTGCTGTTGGTTTGCATACTTTGGTGTTATTATGTAGTTGGGTCCTTAATGTTACACCGGTTTGTATTTATGACGGGAGCACGTTACGGTTGGTCGAACTGTATTGTTGTTGTAAATGATTGGTTGCGTAGGCAGGAGAGCAAGTTGAGGATACGCTCTCGCACATTTATTGTCTTTAACATTGGCCTCCAGAATGGTTTCTGATGGTAAGGCGTGCTTTTTACTGAGTAGCATTTTTTTATTTAAATAATTTTAAGAATAATTTCTAACATCAGAAGTGGAGTAATTTCTTACAATAGTAATTATTAAAGGCCTCAGCTATTTTCATAGGTCCAGTTATTATGGAGTTAATGTGTTTAGTTAAGTCCATATGCTTACCTGCTGCTATGTGCCCTATTTCATTCTTTATACTTTCCCAGGTTGATTTTACAATATTCTTAATATTTGGTATAAACTTCTTATTAATATGAATGCATGGGAACCACTGGGATGTTGTCAATTGTGTAACATACATTATTGTAGGCTGTTATTTTTTTTTATTTTAATTTCCGCTGGGTTTCTTTCTGGTTCTCCATGTCTTCCACCCTCAGACAAAAATTTTAAAAATAAACATATTAACTTTGGCATCGCAATATATTTATGAAAATGTAATGTATGTACATAAAAACATAAATAGCTTTAATAAGAATAAGGATGTGCATACTTTAAATACTAGGAACAAACATAAGCTTGTAATACCAGTTACTAGACTCCACAGAATCAGTAATTCAATTATGGGGCAATGTATACGCTTTTACAACAAAATCACATAACATATTCAAAGTTTGTCAATAAACAAGTTTAAAAGTTTTATTAAAGAAAGACTGTACAAAAAGGGTTATAATAATATCAAGGAATACATGAATGAAAATAACCCCTGGGAATAAGGTGATCGCCACCATGCTGGTTCTATTCTATATAAATCATTTAAAATTGTATAAACTAAATTATTGTTAAGTGAAATATGTTTGAAAAAAAAAAGTCCCGCTGGGTTGCTTGCTAGTTCTTCCCAGGACAGAGGTATTTTCCGAACCAGTGGTAAATAAAAAAATGACTTTCAATAAGAATTATGTAATAATCAATATTGAATAAAAAATTATTCTATTCTATTCTATTCTATTCCATAGGAAAGAGGGCTTAAAGTATTATTTTTAATCTGTATTGAATAAATACATTCCGTTTCTGTTTCGTTAAGCCAAGTTAGTGTGCTTTACCATATTTGGGTGCATCACCACTTAGTCTAAGAGATATACTAGACCGCTTAACAACTGAATCAGAGGTTGAGATTTCTCAAAGCATCAATACTGGGGGCTTCATTAAGTCCAGGGCCAAAGCAGTCACAAGACAAATGGTTGAAATTTTAAAAAATTGTACAAGCGACTTAAATATACGAGTAAATATAATGAGAACATCGTCAATGTAGTTGAAGTCCATTAAATACCCATTATTAAGGATAACTCAAAAACCACGGACCACATTCAAGCACTAGCTTAAAAAAGAATAATCAAAATCTGTGCACCTAGAAAAAAGTTCTGAGGTAAAACACAAAAAATATATAGTAGAATTGAGTACCTTCCCCTTCTTTTAAAGTCTGTCAAAAACTAGGCGTCCTTAATAATAATTAATTAAATGTTTCACTCAGGGGCAGCTTTTGATCCTCCTACATATATAAAAATAGCTACAATCCTGCAAAGCATGGTGATTTTTGCTAAAGTTTTCTTTATAGGATAGGTTTATGTTTTATGGTTTATGTCTTCATCCAGCAGTGTATATTTAAAGGCTTATGGATAGACGTATGAATGAATGGTAAAAGATGGGCAGCAATAACAGGTCATTAAGCATTCCATTTAAATAAAGAACGCTCATCGTAATAATAGTAAATCAGCTGACGTCGAATGACGCAGGTCATCGTATCGTAATAACGTTGCTGAGCTCCAAGAAAGCGTAAAAAGTGATTTCCATTATGCATAGAGGAATAAACTGGAAATTATTACGAGTATTTAACGTATATTAAGTGTGAAAATCCTTCTTGTTAAAATTACAAACCATAGATGTTTTATCCGTAACGTTTTATAACTCATAGTTTATGAGATAATTATTAATAACTGTTTTTTACAGGATAAGGGTGACAAACGAACACACAATCCACCTGTAATCATCAACATCATCACACACAAATTATAATACAAATCCACAATGTACCTGTTGCTATGGTCCATAGACATCTGCATTCTACACCTACCTCGATTACGAATCAAAATGCAAATGCGTTGTCACCCGTGAGGACTAAAATAGAATGCCTATTTTCCAGTAAAAAGGGTCTCCGGTTTTTTACACTCACCATACGAAGCACAGCAGCGTTAAGCTGCTATTTTACGCTGGTATTCTGTGAGAGCGTGTTCCTTCCCCGTTCGAGCCGACTCATTCGGGCTACAACGATACTACTTATATAGCGGCAGCATGGCTCTGTCATCTCTCTGGCTACGTATAAACGATACTACTAATATAGCGGCAGCATGGCTCTACCACGTATAAAAATTTATTATGTTAAGCGATCTATACGGTAGGCCTATGATCAACAATGGAATTTATTTGGCTGTAACGGTAAGATAGACAAAAACCATATATTTTATTAATTTGGGTTATCGCTTTTTAAAAATATATTAATGGAAATTCTTACATGATTGTTATTTTCATATTAAACCTATTAATTAATTAGATGGAGTGACAATCTGGTAAGACATGCAAAAGGACGATGGATGCGTGGCTCATGATCGTGTTCCAAGACGTTCCTTGGCGGAGACCTATGTTCAGCAGTGGAATTGTAAGGGGCTGGAATAGTGATGATAATGAGGATGATGATGATGATGAAGATGATGTTGATAATGAATTGAGTATTGATAATGCACATGATCTGAATCAGTAAAACCCAAAACTTTTACAGGTCAGCTCAATATAGATATTTTTATAATCTTTACTGTGGCGGCGCTGTTATCGCGCCACAAGCGAAACAAATCGAAGCCTAAATCGCACTAACAAAGTTCCGAAGTTAAAGTAGCATATATAGAATAGCTCCGAACTACCATTCGGAGCGTTGGCCGCTCCCCGGGCAGAACACCTTGCCCGGCGGGAGATCTCCCCTTGTCCTTCCACTGGCTACAGTGGTGACCCCGACGTGATATGAACACGCAACCAACAAACCTTCGGAAACTACACCTTCAAACCTTCATCATCCTCAAGTATCCCATTCACTCGCTCCCGAGCAGATATTGTCTGCAGTCTTCACATTCTACAAGCCATATAGCTTTACATAGGTTCATCGCAGCACTGGAATAATAATGCTACCTGTTCCTTCAAGCTACTCTATGTACTACAGTGTTTCGGCACGGCTCTGAGCCTTACTGCTCGCCTCTGTTTCACGACACTCTCGCAGATTACTTGCCTTCTTCTTGACTCAACGCAGACTACAAGGCAATCCCTAGCACTTGCTCCGGCTCATCGTTCTCACCGGAATCACATGCAAGTGCGTAGTACGGCATGCATTACATACCGGCATATCGTTCGCACCGGCGTCTTTTGCCCTCACGTACAGAGCATGCATTCCCCACCGGCATTAAGGACGCACCGGCAATCGGACTGCACTATTGACTCTGAGCAAGGGGGTGATGTGGCGGCGCTGTCATCGCGCCACAAGCGAAACAAATCGAAGCCTAAATCGCACTAACAAATTTCCAAAGTTAAAGCAGCATATATAGAATAGCTCCGAACTACCAATTGGAGCGTTGGCCGCTCCCCGGGCAGAACACCTTGCCTGGCGGGAGATCTCCCCTTTTCCTTCCTACGGCCACATTACATTTAAATTTATTGCATTTTCGAGACCTTAATAAGCAATAATCCGGTAGATTCACAATTATTTTTGCCAAACTGTCTCCAATATTTTTTGTTGTAAAAGATAATGTTTGTCACCCACGAGACGAGTGAAGAAATATCAATTACTCCATAAGATATAGGATATTCTTACACCGCCACTACGCGAATAATGTACAGTCGTGGACACTGTCACGGAACTAACTAATGATATGGTCTAACCAGTTGAACGTATGGGAAGTTATGTATCTATGCAATATTTATACTGACACGCACTCGGCAGCTTTGAAAGCTCGCTTTGCGACGCAAAGTATGAATCTCGGCTGCCTTGACTTGGTTATATTTACATAAATATGTAACGCACTGGCTCACGAGTGTTGAACCTCGCGTAGTACGTAAATTAGTGTAATATGAGCAAACAATGCAGCGTAGACGTTTCTGGAAGAAAACAGAAAACTTTTCTCTAAACACATATTGTTTTTTTTTTTAATTAGCTTCAAACCAATTTAAAAACTTGTTACTCATATTACAGCCTCGAGTTCAGTGCATGTACGTGTGCAGTTTGTTATAAATATATCTGGTTTTCCGAAGCAATGGGCTGAAACACCGTCAATTTTCTAACTCTAGGCTGTAAATGAGAATATCTGGACAGAAAAACGAATACTACAGACTGTTATTATGAAGACTGTTAAATAGATCACAGTGAAATTATACTTATCAGTTACATTTTATTTAGAGAACTGAAGCGTAAATATAAGGTTTTCTATATTAATTTCTTTTAGCGATTAAACTGTGTGGACATTACGTATCTATTTGTCTGAACTGTTAATAATTAGCTCTGTATGTTGATTTTCCCTGTGTTTCTCTGCTATTTCTTCTCTTATTTTAATAATAATTATATCCTCTAGGCGGAACTTCGGCCACGACGCTAGCCATCTGCGCCGGACAGTCTTATAATGTACAAGTGTGTCCGCAAGCACAGGTAAAATCTTAATTCCATCACTCTCTTAGTCTGATGGGACAGCAATCCAACAAGATCCAACAAGTTCAACACACGTGCACAGGATCAACGTCTTTCGTGCTTTCCAGAACACGGGACCGCCAACTTCCTGACTCCGGGCTGCTACTAAAAATGTCTTCACAGAATAAACCAATAGCTGATATTTGGCTCAACCCGAAATTTGTTCCAGGAATATCTGTCTTAGGGTTCTGCTGTCACACAAATAACCCTCAAGGATAATTTAATTATATTTGTCATAGATTTTTTTTAACTGAATTAGATAAAAATGTTAGGCGTATATTTATTCCACATTCTTTATAGAAATCAATTTTAAGATAAGAACAAAAATGTGTGTGCTATAAAAATTAATTGACTTTTTTTTGCTATTTAAAAGAATAATTGTGTAAGAATTAAATAAAAATTATTTTACGAATTTTAGTCGACATTTCGGGTTCTCTACAGCACCCATGGTCAAAGAGTTATTAACTCGTATGAAATATAAGGAACTATTGAGACAGTAAAATTAATAACAATAAAAAAATATTGAGCTACCACGGCTCTAACTTGCACAGTGCATGCATCCGGGTTCGATCCCCACCGGCACCAATGTAATTGTAAATCGATAACGCTCGGCGGTGAAGGAAAACATCGTGAGAAAGCCTCAGAAATAATATTTCGAAGACATGTGACGTTCGCCAACATGCATTTGGGCAGCTCGGCGGACATTTCCTTGCTCTAAACCCTCTCAGAAATGAGAGGATATTAAAGCTGTAACTGTCTTTAAAATCATATGATATCGATATTAAAGCAATTACTATTTTAAAATCATATGATATTAATATTAAAGCTGTTACTGTCTTTAAAATCATATGATATTAATATTAAAGCTGTTACTATTTTAAAACCATATGATATTAATATTAAAGCTGTTACTGTCTTTAAAATCATATGATATCGATTTTAAAGCTGTAACTGTCTTAAAAATCATATGATATCGATATTAAATCTGTTACTGTGTTGAAAATCATATGATATCGATATTAAAGCAGTTACTGTCTTTAAAATCATATGATATCGATATTAAATCTGTTACTGTGTTGAAAATCATATGGTATCGATATTAAAGCAGTTACTGTCCTTAAAATCACATGATATCGATATTAAAGCCGTTGCTGTCTTTAAAATCTTATGGTATCGATATTAAAGCTGTTCCTGTCTTTAAAAACATATTACGTTATTAGCATAAAAGTTGTTACTGTCTTCAAAAACATATCATGTTATTGGTATTAAAAGGTTTAGTGTCTTTAAAACCATGTGTATTAAAAACCATATTGGTAGTAAAGGATTATTCACTTCCAAAGATATTATCACCTCATTTTATCTCGTTGGTTTCGGTTGTCGATTAAGCGAAATGTTCATAAAAGCTTTTGACAATCGACAACCGACTGTTTTACCATCTCAATACTTATCAGATAGCAGTGCCATAGGTAAGAAGGGTCTGGGCCCCATTCTGAAAATATTTGCTTCGACACCTCGTACTACGATGCACTGACAGTACGTGCCAGAAGCGATTATGTAACTACGCCATGGTAGAGCCACGCTGCAGGTGTATAATGGCTATAGCCTGAATAGGCGCTACGACTAAAGAAGAATCATCAAAAGTCGATGTAAGTCAAGAAATTACTAGTTTAGAAGTAAAGTTCATTTAAATAAAAATAAAAATATTAAAAAAAATATAAAATCCTGATAAATGATTAAAGATGGTATTTACCTACCTAGTTAAATCTAACGTCGTTTCCAAAAGTACAATGCAAGTTATTGTAAAAGACCGTCGGTTTATAAGTTTCAATAAGGTTGTTTTAATTTTAGGATTAAACGCTTTCTAATTAAAAAGTACTTACCCTTACAATTTAAAAATAGCGAAAATAAAAAATAAAAATTTTTACACGAAAATCTTCATTCATTGCCCAGTTGTCACACCTATTAACTTATATCCGTTCAGGAACGAATCTCCAGATAGACAATTAACGTTTCATTTCCATGTTCTATCACCTTTTGCGACGTAGAATCGAAAAATAGAACATCTTTTTAATTTTTGTCTAATTTATGGTCTGTCTGTTTATCAGTTCTGAGTTTTGTGTTCACTGAAGATTATGCACACGCATTCACAAAACAATCCCATGCTAACAATTTTAATATTCTCTCATATTTTAAACATTGAAGAATATAATAAATACTCCAATATAAATAAAAATATTGGATATATAAATTGCTGTACTAAATCAAACAACTACGAGTACTACGCTACTAAGTGACAAGGGCCTATTTTACACCCCTATTATAGATGGTTTCACTCTAATATACCCATTATTTTAAAACCGTATCAATATTTATTAATACATTAACTTATACTTTGAAAGCCTTGTCCTTTGTAATCACATAAAAATTTAATCCTACCAGTTTTCTACTATTAAAAGCTTTCGATACTGTGATGCAACAAAATTGATTTTTCTCACAAAGGCTTTGCTGAGCTCTGGTTGCCTAAATGAAAGAAAAAAAAATGAGTCTACTCGTAACAAAATTCTATTTAGAAGTGAAAAATATATTTTGTAACAATGTTAACATTTTCGTTATATTTTGTCATGAGTTTCATTTTAATTATTATTATATCAATATTTTCTTTAAGTATTATAACTCATTTTTAAAGGAAACTCATGTGTTCCGAAATTATTCATGCTGGGCCACCTCAGGCTATTTTTTTATTAATCTTTATAGAATGATTTCTTATATTTACGCGAACAGTACACATTTAAATAAAATTAATTTTACGGATTTTATTACGTATATTAACTTATTTTATATTCCCGACGTTTCGAGGACTTTCCAGCACCCATGGTCACGGGGGGGACTGAGGTGTATGACGTCCCAATGTCATTGTTAACCACGGCAACCTGCAGACGGGGGCCTTCGTCACTACATTAGATTTGATAGACCACAAATCCTCGCTAAAGAACACCGATTCCTTCCAAGGATGATTCGCGAGGCTATTAAAATCAAAA